GGGCCATGACCATACAAGGGAAAACCATAGAGTTTTCCCTTGTATGGCCGTGGCCCCGCCCCCAGCGTGCCCGGCGTCATAACGTCACTTTCCTGTGACATGCACGCTGGGGCGGGGTTCCCCCCGGGGCCTAATTCCCCGGCATCGGGGAACGGGCCTCTGGGGCGGGGGGGTTTCCATCCCCCGGGGGGAATTGGCAGCCCTACTTGGCAGGGAGGGCGGGATATAAATTGAATTAAATAAATAAATAGCCCTAATAGTAACTCTTTGACATTTCAGGCAGAAGCTCTGCTTAACAGGATACCTTTTAATCTGCATAGCCAATCAGAAACCATGCTGAGCAAAAGCTCCATCTAGCCGTGTCCACTTTCTACAAGTACTTGTGGGGCCCAGGAAAGGTGTCGGTGGGCACCAGGGTGGGGACTCCTGCCTTACACTGCGCCCGTGGATTGGTCCTTAACTTATATTTGAAGCGCCAACTGGGTGACCAGATTCAAAGGCCTGTAATTGCTATTCAGAAGACCTAATGCAATGCTAATGTCTTTGAATATAGATGTAGATGCCCATGCAAACCCTGAAGTTTTTGAGGTCTCCAAAATGGCTATGCATGTTTGTTGCCACTGGTGAGCCCGCATTAAACATGAGCCCCCTGTAGGCAGACAGGAACAGGCCTGACAGCAGGGATAATGTGAATTCCACAAAGTTCCCATGTTGCTATGTGGTACAAACCCTGCAAATGTGAACAAATTCCTTAATTGCCAAAAGAAAATGAATGCATGCTTGGCAAATGATCCCCCAGCTGTGCTGAATCCCATAAAATGCTAGCAGATATCACTGTTCTTTATCAAAGTTTTGGCTACAGCCTCAATTATTAACTTACCAGACCAGGCAACAATAATCCACGCAAGACACTGGAAAGTGACAAGTCACTGATGGGAGAGCTGTAAGCAAAAAAATGGCTTAGACCAAATTCACACATGCCACTTAAAGAGCTTTTTTTAATCTTCTTCCAACTCCTGATGTGC